AAATAACCACCAGCATGCACAGTGTAAGTGTTGTTATGTTCAAACCTAATTTCATGTATGAGGGACTGTTGAGTTAATGTGTGGAAGTGATTTGTGTATGGTTGATTTTTGGTCAGAAATATTGTTGAAATAACCTCGGTTCCACATAGGAACCCAGGTTTGTGTTTTTGGGTCCGGTATGACGATAATATACTGCGCACACAGACAGGTGAACTCACTTTGGTTCTTTGATCAGACCAGACGTGTTGCTACTGAATGGACACTTCCAACGAGACAGAAGACCTTTTTGTGACAGGTGGCGCATCGAAGGATTTTGCTTTATTTGTTATAATTGTTTCGTTCTCATGGTGCTCTGTGTACGGAGTAAAGCGAACGGTGAATGGAGAAGAAGAAGTCTGCTGCCGCAATAAAGGCCTGTTTCAAAGAACTACCTGTGTCTGTCGTCACGAAAAGAGTAACACACGGGGAGCCAAAAGACTCAAATTGCATGTTATAAAATGAATCTGTAAATATTAAAGTCACTGCAGCTTACCAGCAAGCTCCTTCTGCTTGGCCCAGTAGCGGATGGTGTACACTAAAGGCCTCAGCCTGTCCTCCATCCCTGAACACAGCTGGAGGAAGCGGGTGTTCCTTACTGCTAGTCTAGTGAAGAATACAGGCAGGAGAAAGAAAACCACCAAGTATTTACCAACTGTAAAAAGCATTTCTCACATCTGAAGACTTTTGCTACTACACAGTACTGAAGAAATCCTAAAACTCTTTCACTGACTTGTTGTTAATGGTGATGTCCCCCTGCAGGTTAAGCTCGCGGTGATGGAACTTGACTACAGGGAGACGAGCACTGCTGACCACATGGACTTTGTGCACGCTGGGAACACAGCGTTTCAAGATTGTTGCCACGAGTTCCAGAACCTCAGCTGGAGAGGCTGTGGACAGGTCGATATCGGACAGGATGGAGTCTTCAGAGCGGCCATCATCTGACATGCCTTCCCCTGCCTGAAGAAAAGGGAGGAGAGGGAATACAGAGGGCTTCATGTGGAGTTACATTATGTGACATTTTGGCAGAAATTCCTGTATATGTAAAATGCCAGACCTGCTCTGTGGTGGACTTGGCACGGGCCTGGAACACCTTGGTGTTTTCTAGGTCCAGGAACAGGTCGAGGTCACAGGAGTGAATGCCAAAAGTGTTGACAGATGAACCAAACGGTAGAATCTGGCTGTCTGCAACCAATCAAAACAGTGTCAAAGGTCGGATAATCTTATGCAGTGTTATCATTATGTAAGACGTACAGATGGGTGACAAATGTAAAGGAAAAACTGGAACCCTTGTCCTCAACAGTGAGCAGATCCACTGCCTCCGTTATGCTGTGGGGGGTATTTTGTTGACATGGTGTGGGTCTGGTTGCCCCCTTAGAAGGAAGAGTCACTGAAAATCTATACTGATCACTTTTATCCTAAGATGAAATAATTCTGTCCTGATGGGAGACAAGCACCCATCAAGGACCGTTAGGGATCACTGAATGGTTTGATTAGTATTAAAATGATGTGATTCATAGACAGTGGTCTTCACAGATGAACACTTATTGGAGATTTTGGACCAATCACCATCAAAATAGATGGCGAATATGTTTTGGAAGAATGATGTCCATCCCTCCAGCAGAGTTCCAGAGATTTGGAGAATCAATGCCAAGGATCATTTCAGCTGTTAAAGTGGTTCATCACCTCACTAAGTCACCCTTTCACATGTCTGTGTGTGTGTTTAAAAAGGTCACCTGGAAAGAACTCTACAAAAACCTCTTGCAGGAGTTGAACCAGCAAGCCTCGGGCCTTCTTTTCGTTGTCTCCCAGCTGAAATCGCTCAAGAACGAACTGCATCTGTGCATCAACCTTTAGGAGAACAAAGGACAACACCATAATTCCTTTGTTAACAGGACACCTTAATAACAAACATGCATGTAAAAGAATGCAACTATACACTCATCACACAGTGTTTGCATAATGTTTGATGAGTGTCAGTAACAAAGTGCGTCCAGTTTCTAACACCAACTTCCAAACCTATAAGCTAATAATATAAGTGTAGAACAAGTTATGGTTAGTGTGACATAAATTGTATATTTATAACATCCTGCAAGATTTGTATTTAACTTAAAATGAATTGCAGTATGAAACTAAATTGACTCACAAAATGCATCCTGGGAGTCTGCTATACTCGGTGCTCCCAAGTGATTTTGTCATTGTTAAAAGAAACACAGTTTCATTGGCATAACCAGGGCTTTAAATATAAAAGAGGATGCTTACAGACACCAGCTGACACAGCTCAGGTTTAATACGATCAAGAAATTGTTGGAGGTTCTGGGGGTCATTCTTCTTCTTGGGAATCAACTTGAAGTCTTTCTTTTCCCGAGGTTTGACACGAAGCTTCAGGCCCTTCATCTGGTGCTCAACACAGGACAGAGCTGCTTGGATGCTTTCAGTCTCACCGAACTGCACGATGGCATAAACACCCTGAGAGAGCAGAGTAACACATCACAAGTTCAGACACTTTCCATACGCTTTGAATGAACTTAGAGTCAGTGATTTTGGTTTTGATAGTAATCCGTAAAGACTGTAAGGCTGTGCACACAACATGAAATAAAAATACACATCTCATGATGTACAAATGTCTGACCTTGTCTTTATCCATGATAACATCTGAGACTGTTCCAAACTGCTGGAAGTATTCAGATAAGTCAGTCTGAGAGATGTCAGGTTTGATGCCACTGACAAACACACTGTGGTCCTCCTGGGTCTTCCTGGTGGCCCGAACGGTACTCAGTGTCTGATGCTTCCGCCCTTTCACATGCTGATCCAAACTTGGCACTGCAGGACAACAGAATTTTATCAATGTGGACATACGGTTTCAAAAATCTAAACATATTATCGTTGTTTGTGTGGCACAGTTCTTACAACAAGTGCAACTCAAAGTGCTTTACACTGGGGCTGCATAATTTGGGGAAAATATCTACTTGGATTATTTTCTAACACATTTTCCTGTTTTGTGCTATAATGTTTTTAGGTCAACCTTCAGCTCAATATTCACTGTGTGAGATTCCAACAAACATGAACTTGCCAACATCCATCCATCCATTATCTATTCACCGCTTAATCCTCACTAGGGTCGCGGGGGGGCTGGAGTCTATCCCAGCTGACTCAGGGCGACAGCAGGGGACACCCTGGACAGGTCACCAGTCTATCACAGGGCTACACTTAGAGACAGACAACCAAGCACACTCACATTCACACCTACGGACAATTTAGAATCACCAATTAACCTCAACATGTTTTTGGACTTGTGGGAGGAAGCCGGAGAACCCGGAGAGAACCCACGCTGCACGGAGAGAACATGGAAACTCCACGCAGAAAGATCCCAGTTGCGAACCGGCAAACTTGCTGCGAGGCAACAGTGCTACCAACTGCTCCACCTTGCAGCCCAACTTGTCAACATGAACTTGTAAAAACACTGAAAAAGTGAAAACAACATCAGATGACTAAGAGTGATGCGTTTAGCAGCAGCCTGCTGTGTGTAACATCAATAAGCATCACAGCCAACACAAAAGACAGTTTGTCTGTAGTTGAAATATTTGAGCACCCAAAGCATATTTGAACTGATTAACTCTGACATTGACATAGTTTTCAACTAGTTTTACACTACAACAGCATAATACAATTCCTAAAATTCAGCTACAGCTTTATATTATGGGGGACTATCCCAAAATTTTCTGTGTTGCCACCACTATAAAAAAAAAACAATAAAAAAGAAGTTGTAAGCGCCACTTCTGATACCAATAAACAAAACTACATGTAGTTTACTTGCATCAGACCTTTTTTATAACTTTATGTAGTGCACCTACAATTCCAATAACAACGGTTTAATGCTTTACGTATAAACTCTTTAACCATAAAACTATGCATAATGGAGCTAACTTATCTGATACATTACTATTGTGTTGAATTAGCAAACTGCGACAACAATTCATGTCTTTGACGTTTCAGCATAGCATCCAGAAATTCAACTATTTGAATTTCAGCACTAAGAGGTGACAGTAACTTGTACAACCATCTCCAGCACAGCTTAGTGAGTTAGCTGTTAACCACCTGCCAAGACAAAGTTAATTACTCGCATGTAGCTAGGTTAGCTTGTTACTTACTGTTGGGTAAGTTGACATTGCACAGGGTGCAGTGAAACCCTCTCGGCGTCGTTTTTATGTCACTGTCCGAAGACATGATGGCAAAAAGGTCGGAAACAACGATAACAGGAAAATAAATCAAGTTCTACAGTAGTCAGCCAAGTTTGAGGCCGACTGACCCTCCTCCATGCGCCTCTCAAATCTCCCTCCAGCGTCGCTTGTGCGTTTGTTTCCAGTCCGTCTCCAAAATCCGTCCGGGTTGATCTCAAGTTTTTTATCATAAGGTTCCTGTCAGACGTTATCGATTTATCCGCTCTAAATATTTATTTATTGATGCATTTCTTAGCAATTTAAAGCTGCCTTGTCCTTTTAAATGAGTCTTGGAAAGATTTGCTCAACACCGTTGGATAGATAATATTATAGTTTAGATTTAAGCGCCTCCTGCAGCCAATATTGCAGTTTTGTCTTGACATACAAAGTACTGTTACTGTCCTATTCTTCATAGTCATATTTTCTTAAAAATTCTTATTTAAAACCAGTTCACACCCTCACACTCATAGCAACTCACAAAGTAGACGCATGAATTTTAAGCTTGTATTTCAAGGCAAATGTTCAATTTTCCTTCTGCCTTAGCTTCACTTTTACTACATAAAAAGTATATTAAGAAAACACAAACATCCCAGTTAACAGCAGACAGTAACTGAGTAGAGTTCAATACACTAGTTAACATCTGTAGTGTTCTAAAAGCAAACTGATGAATTAGCAGTCATTTCACACACATGCATGCACTCAATTAAAGAAAACATGACATCAAGAAATAAAAACACACCAATCTTTCCATAGTAGTAGAAAATTTAATAACCACTTTTTTCACCATAAAATATTTGCAAAAACAGTTAAGAATAACATACAGCTTGTCACAAAATATAGAGGTAAAAACAAGATTCCCTGCTGAACTGGACAAAAAGCAGTGCTTCATTTTCAGTCTATAAAACTACGTACTACAATGCCTTTCAATCTAAAAAAAATATGACAAGTACAAAAAAAAATACATGGACAAAAACTAACTGTGATTAAGAATATATACAAATGTGTCTACTTTTTAGCTGATCTTCCCCTTCGAGTTTTAGGCTGTTCAGCTTCAGCGGCTTCCTTATGGTCCGCCTTGCTCGTGGCTTCGGCTTTGCCAGCAGTTGCCCCTCGCCTGGCTCTCTTGGCGGGCTGAGCTTCAACAACTTTGTCTGAGAGATCCTCCTCTTCAGGTTTGTTGGCATCCTTTGACACATTTTTGCTTTCAGCTTGGTCTCCAAGTTTTGACTTCCTACCTCGAACTGCCCTGACAGGTGTGGTTTTAGGAATGTCAATGACTTCCAAGTCTGATTTCCACTTGACAGATCTTTTGGACGTTTTTGTGTCTTCGACAACAGCATCTTCGGAGGGATTTGCCTGGTTGCTGGTCTCCATGGTTTCATCTGTTGTGGCCTTTGCCGCCGCCCGTCTCCCCTTCTTTGCTGGTTCAACTGTAGCTGCAGCAGACTCAGTGGATTCAGTGCTGGCCTCTTCAGGAGGAGGAGCTGCACCTCGACGTGCTCTCTTGGCTGGGACGACTTGTGAAATCTCACTTTTCGCAGAAGTTTTTGCTCCTCTTGCCCTGCTTTGTTTAACGACTGGAGCAGCCGGCTCAGCATCTTTCTTCTCTTCTGCCTCCAGCTCATGTTCAGGATTTTCAGCAGTGGCCACAGCTTCTTCAGAAGCTTGTTTTCCTCTCCTGCCACGTTGGGGTTTGCTTGTCGAGCTGACAACAGGGACCTCTTGGACCTCAGCGGATTCCACAGGGGTTACACTCTCTGTGTCCTGTTTTGCTTTTCGGCCTCCTCTCCTGGGCTTTGCGGCCACAGGGGCTACACTCACTGGTTCAGAAAGTGGAGCCTCTCCCTCCTCTGCAACAACCACTTCTTGTTCGTCTTGTTCAGGTTTTCTGGTTCTCCTCACTTTCTGAACAGGCTCCTGGGATTTAGCAGTCTTGGCATCGCTGTCCATCTTTTCTTCTTGTCTGGTGTTCCTTCCCCTCTTAACCCTGACTGGAGGCTCAGACTGCTGAGGAGTCTCGACCTTGTCCTCTGCTGCCTCATGCTGTTCCTCAGTATCAGGCTTCGTCTTTCTCCCTCTTCTGGGTTTTCCAGCACTAGGAGGAGCGGGTTGCTGAGGCTGAGCTTGTTCATCACTCACTGCTTCATTTTCTTCCGGCTCAACGGGTGTTTGTTTAGTTTTTCTCCCCCTAAGCGGCTTCACGACAGCTTCTTCTGTTGTGGATGCAGAACCATTTTCTTGACTGGTAGTTTGGACACTCACAGCTTCAGTGGGAACCTCAGTCATCAGCTGTGTTTCAACAGCAGGCTGATCAGAGGTGACTTCCTTAGATTTTGCATTTCTGCCTCTTGTTGTTTGTCTAACAGCAGGTGGTGCTGCAGCTTCCACTTTCTTCCCTCTTCTTCCTCTGACTGGAGCTGTAACAACAGGCTCTTCAGAATATTCTGCTGCCTCCTGTTTATCCTCAGCTCGTTTAGATTCCACCACTTTTGCTCTTCTGCCTCGAACAGGTTTTTTCTGAACTTCACCTGCATTCACTTCTGTGACTTTGCTAGCTGCTGTCTCCACATCAGGCAAACTCTCAGTTTCAGGTGCCTGGAGGATTGTTTCCTTGGCATCTGATGTATTTTCATCAGTCCCACCTGGCAACACCTCCATCTGGTCATTTGCATCAGCTTTTAAAATAACAGAAGAAAAAAAAGGAGAAAGGTTGCATTTAATTATTAAGTAACATTACTCAAAGACTGTGCATTTGCCCTGATGAAAATGTCAATGTAGTCATATTAACTGTTAGTATAAATGGATACAGCTATCATAGTACAGAGCAACTACTGCAGTCAGCTGTAGTTTTCAAGTTTTGACCCAACACTCCCATATCTTGCTATGTTTAATGTATGTACATACAAAATTATGAACACCATCTGCAAAACATTTTTATGAAATAAACCCTCTTTTTTATGTGTTGCATGTTCAAACCAACAGGAAAGTTAGAATAAACAAGAAAGAAAACATACCTTTTGCCATATCAGCTTGGGGAACATCTTCAGTCTGGACGCAAGGCTCATCTTGCTGCTCTGGCACTGATTGTTCAGGTTTAGCTTTTCGCCCTCGTCTGGGCTTCAACACAGCCTTCTCCTTTGGTGCCGCACCGTCATCTGCTTTGTGATCGACATCAACAGCTGGGCTCTGTTCACTCTCAGGTTCTACGGCAGTTTCAGCGACAACTTCTTGGACTATTTCAACTTGACCGTCAGAAGCGTTTTTGGCATTTCTGCCTCTCTTTGGCTTAGGAGCAACTTTAGAAGGCAGAGGAGCGCTGTCTTCTGCTGTGAGCTCAACATCCCTGTTTTCAGTGGTCTTTGCATTTCTGCCTCTTGTCGTCTGTCGAACAGCGGGTGGCGCTGCAGCTTCAGTTTTCTTCGCTCTTCTTCCTCTGACGGGAGCAGAGACTACAGGCTCCTCAGAAGGTTCTGGTGCCTCTTGTTTATCCTGAGCTGGTGTAGATTCGACTGTTTTTGCTCTTCTGCCTCGAGCAGATTTCTTGTCATGGACAGGATCCGTGACAGTTGTATCCATTTCTGTGACTTTGCCAGGAGCAATCTCCACTTCAGGTACATTCTCATCTACTGTATCTTCTTTTGGTTGTTCCAGAGCAGCTTTCTCATCTGCCTGAGAGACAGTTTCCATTGCATCTGGGGAGTCAACATTGTGACTACTTGGCTCCTCCAAATGGTCAATGACAACTTCATTTGCTTCTGTAATAAGAAGAAAAAAAGAGGAAAGAAGCTGTTGAAATATTTGCAATAAGTTTCAGACATGTTTTGATAATTCCATGGCAAAGCCTGTACACGTGGATCAAACTTTTCATAATGCTTTGAGAGTTCCAAAAATAACCTGAATGCCCTACATTTATTTTTGTGCTGCTGTTCTTTCAGACTACCCAAGTTTTCCTTTCAGAGCAAAATGATTGCATAATTCCATTTTAGGTAATAAACCAATTCTAATGATGGCTGTTAGTGAATTGACCTTTTGCCATGTCAACACTGGGGGAAATTATCTGTAACTGTATCAGATGGTTCATTGTCTTGTGGCTTCCAAAGGACTGAGTGTACTTCTATAAAAGGACAAGGCCACAAAAAAACTAATCAGCTGACCGAGTTCTGGAACACTTGAACATTATGCTTATTAAACTTAACCAACCTTTTGTGGCATCTGCACCATCATGCACAGGCATTTGATCTTCATCCTGTGAAATACAAAAACATTTTAGACAAGCACAAAGTATGTAAACCACACTGACGACACAAACATCTAATTGTTTTTCTTAAAAAAAAAAGGCTTTTCCCCCCCCAGAAACTGAACAATGTTATTTCCCTGAGTACACAGATAAAACAAGACAATGGAGCAACCAGATAAATTATTGATTTTGGCCTCTAAAAAGGAATAAAGCCATAATGTTCTCAAATTATTATTTAGGATAAACAACCTGACCAATTGTGTGAGCACCTGGAATTTCAGGTTTAAGCTCCACACCAACTATTTTTTTTTAATAAGTCAAATTCAAATTGCATCCTATGTTGTGAGAGTTGCTAATATTTAATATCCAAACACCTCACTGGAGTATTCACATGAATACTGATAGAGGTGCTTTCATTATTACCTCATTTGTCTCAATTTGTCCTGTGGGATCAGTCAGTGGCTCCTCCATGAGCTCTTGAAGTCCTTCAAAGTCTTCCACTGGAGCAATACCCCTCAGCCGGGGTGATTTCATCAGCCTCTTGATCCCGAAGTTCTCCTCAACAGGTTCACCTTTCTCTCTGGGAGTCCTCAGGAGCCTCTTCACGCCAACCATGTCTTCAACTGGAGCACTCTTCTGCTTTGGTGTCTTCATTACTCTCTTGATGTCTGTCAGACATACCATCGGGGAGCTCTTCACGTCTGGAGTTTTCGTATCTGTCATTTCAGACAGGTCTTTTTGCACAGGTGCTGGTGTCTGCACGAGTTCCTCAATACCATCCGAACTCACATTGCCAGCCTCTGGGGCGCTGGGAGTCTTCAGAAGTTCTCCTTGAAGGTCTTCAAGGGGTTCAGCTTGCTGTTTGGGAGTCTCGAAAATTCTCTTAACTCCAGTGAGGCAGTCTTGTTGGACAGGCTTCTGTTTGGGAGTTTTCAAAATCTTCCCTCTCAGGTCTTCAACAGGCTCAGCTTTCTGTCTTGGGGTCTTCATGATCCTCTTTATTCCACTGAGACACTCCTTCTGTTCAGGCTTCTGTTTAGGAGTTTTCAGGAGTTTTCCTCTCAAATCCTCAACAGGTTCAGCCTTCTGTCTTGGTGTCTTCATGATCCTCTTCACTCCAGTGAGAGATTCTGGTAATTCTGGCTTCTGTTTGGGAGTTGTTACAGAGGCTGTCTTTGAATCTGTGTACTGCTCCTCACTACACTCAGAGTGAGTCTCTGGGGCAGAGATGTCACCAACAAAGCTAGAGTCTTGGTCTCCATTTAGGAGGCGTTGGACTGCCTCGGAGTTGTATCGTCTGCTTTTTACTGTAGATGCAACGCTCAGTGGAGACACCATCATTTCATCTGCAAGACAAGTCACAAGTTTTTAGTTTATGCTAATTTAAGGTCCCAACAGACTGAATATGACAAAGTCCATATTCTAATGATTAAGCAGAACACATGTTTAATGCTTTCATTCAGCCCCAACAACAACAACATCAGCAGCACACAGTTTACCTGGCTCCTCTGGTGTGTTCAGCACTGATGGTTCTATCACAGATGTGCCCAGACCTCCTGCCGGTGTCTTCATAGCACTGTTCTCGTTGATTACAGATCTCCTCTTCCGTTCATTTGCAGGAGTTTTGAACATCTCAGAAATACCTAAAAACACAATGCACAATATAAGTAGCTGTAAAATTGACGTTCAGAATACAGAAGAACAAGTCTGTCTATTTGTTGCGCTGGATCAGGGGTAACTACCAGTTAGGTCCTCGTCCATTTTCATGCTCTTTTTGAAGAGTGCAGTATTGGTGACCACTCTCGGTGCAGCACCAGTTGGATGTACGACACTTTGCTTGTGAGCTCTGCCCACAACAATGGTAGCAGGTGAATTTGCATGTCCGGTGCTCACAAGGCCCTTCAGTTTTCTTGCAGGAGTCTGAGAAATTGAGAGATACGGTCACTATAGTTTTCAAAAACCATGGTAGAATCATAACAAGAGAGGCAACAACAATCGAGCAATATCAGAATATGGGCTGTTTTTATAAAAGATCCAACAGGTAAAAGGTTTTTTTACATGACGAGAAATAAAACTACCAAACTGTCATTGTATACGCTTTTACTGCAACTGTTGAAATGTTTTACTTTACCTGTGCTTTGGGCACTGTCTTCTTCACTGTCTTCTTCACTGCCTTTTTAGTGATCGCCTTTTTAGGTGGAGCTACAACTTGAGCCTTAGTTTCTCCAAATTTCACAATGTTCGCCCAGGAATTTACGACTGTAACGAGAAGAGCAAAAAAAATACAAATGAATCTTTATTTAATTATTTTGCATTACTAAATTTGCTGGAGTCTGTACAGTAAAATAAAAGAAACCAAAATAAATTGCTCAACAAAAAAAACTTAGTAAATATGTTCAACTTTGCTATCACCTCATCCTGTTCAGCACTCACAACCCAACACTGAAACTGCACTGAATCGAAAAAATAGTGCCAGGAACAAAGACACGATTTCTAAGACAAGAAATTTTTACATTTTAAGGGTTAAACATACCTTTCATCGACACCCGTGAGAAGCCACTCCGTCTGTGCATTACTTTTACAGCACTCTTGGAAATACTTGGAGTCTTCCGCGAGGCGCTCTTCATGCTCTTCCTCCTTATCGGTATTTTAGGGGTAACAGTGAGTGAAGGCACCTGGTCAGTGACAGCATCAGCTTCGGTAACTGGAGAGGGTGTACTGATGCGTGACACAGAGAAGCGTCCCTGCACTGTGGGTGTCTGGATTCCTGAATTCAGGGGGGTTTTAGCTGGTGTTGCACCGGTCAAGGGGGCAGGACTGGACACTCCTACAGATGACCTCTTTTTGCCAGCAGGAGATGCTGCTTTAGGAGAAGAGGACCTGGACTTTGGTGACTTCTTTGCAGAAGATGCTGCCTTGGGAGAAGACGACCTGGATTTGGGAGAGGTCTTCCCAGGAGAAGCTGCCTTTGGAGACGAGGACCTGGATTTTGGGGTTTTGTTTGCAGGGGATGCCGCCTTAGGAGTAGATGACACAGATTTGGGAGATTTCTTTCCAGGCGATGCTGCTTTGGGAGAAGGAGATCTGGATTTTGGTGACTTCTTGGCAGGAGAAGGAGATCTGGATTTTGGTGACTTCTTGGCAGGAGATGCTGCCTTGGGAGAAGAGGACTTGGATTTAGGAGACTTCTTTCCAGGTGTTGCAGTCTTAGGAGAAGCACTCTTGGCACTTGGTGACTTCTTAGGACTATCGTTGTCAAACTCCTATGTAAAACAAGATACATTATAAAAAAAAAAGACCGCAAGACACACAGCAATTACACTGTCAAGTCACACTACTGGTCTTACTTTTAGCATGCCGATGACAGATGCTCGTCGAAGGAGTGACTCTTTGTTTTTAAAGAGAGACAAGCTTCTCCGTGGAGTGGCTCCTCTGCGTAACGGAGAGTCAGGAGGAAGCCGTTTGTCAAATAACTCCGGGCTCAGCTGACCTCCAAAGGAAACTCGTTTCTTCTTCATTTTCATTGTAGGCAAGTCTGACCCAAGTTCTCCACTTTTGCGTTTTTTGGTGACTTCTTTCACTAAGAAAACAAAATGTTTGAACATTAGTATCTGCAAAAATAAAAATCATTACTGCATCTTAATCAATGCTTCTAAAAATTGAAGTGAAGAAAATATAAATAATACCCTTTTCAGCTTTTCCTGAGCTCCTTGGTGATGCAGTTTTGGGAGAAGCTTGCTTGTCTTGTTGCTTTGTCACTGCAGGTTTGGCAGGAGTGGCTTCCTTACTCCTCCGTCTCACAGGTGATTTGGGTGTTGCTTGCTCAATAACCTCACACGGCGAAAACCTCTGGGGAGTCACACTGTTTCTCCTCCGAGGTGAAGGAGACTTGGTGGGCTGTTCAGCTTCATCCCCTCTTGATCCAGCTGTCTCAGTAGAGGGAAGCTTGACGGCCTTTTTCTGCTTCTTTACAGACTCTGGGGTTCCACTTAAGGCCTTAACTTCATCCTTCTTGGGAGCGCTTTTGTCTTCTGTGAAAATGACAAATTTCCCGTCACTCTTTCGGACGGAGGCAGGTTTTGGAGAGCAGAACCTTGAGGAAGGCGTCTGAAGCAGACTGGCAGAAGACTTCCGAGGCGTCTTGACGTCCAAAGACTTTTTGATCATTTGATACAGATCACTGAAGGGGGAGGTGGTGTTTTGGACCAGACTTCCATCTTCCTTGGACTCCATGTCCACAGTTTTCTCCAGGGATCGCTGGATGTTGTCATGGTTAGCTGCATCTTTAAGATGAGGGTCTAGAAAAATATACACATAAAATATCAGTAGACTTGTCAGTTTAAATAAACTTGAAACTAAATGTAATTGTTTTTAAAATTCAATGAAAAAAAAAAATCCCATCAATGGAACACTTGATTGAAAAACAGTCTTGGGCTGCAACATTCAACCTTAGAATCAAACAATCTCACCTGTAGATACTTCAGAGATCCTCTTTTCTCCTGTTCCAACTACGGCAGTGTCATCCACTCGCTGATCTTGCAGGACCTAGGTGTAAGATACTTCCATCAACACATTTGCAGAATTGTGTACTTCACCATAAGTATCAACAGACTCAAAGGTCTGGGAATGGCTGAAATGATAGTAATAAAATAAGAAATTTACCTTGAGGGTTTCAGTTTTGCCTCCTCTGGAAGTCCTCTTCTTTGGTGTGGGTGCTGGAGGATACTCAAACCTGAAGCAACAAAGTATAAGACCTTATTTACAGTCACCCTGAAAGTTGTAACATCAGGAAAATACTCCAATAACCAGTACATACAGTCCATTCTGTCTGTACCTAAATTTAATAGTTTTGCGTTGTTCACACATTTTCATCCATAGACTTCAATCATCAAATTTTAGCTCAGTATATTCTTTGACTTCTGTATATGCATAGTACATAAACAGTAAATTAACCACAATAATCTCAAACTACATTTGTATTTAGCAGCAATAAGCAATTATTTATTTTCATCTTATCAATGGAAGTCTAATATGATTAACAAATTGATCGTATTCATGTTGTCATTTGATAGAGTTCACTATTCTCGGTGGCACTGTCAGGTTTAATGCTTGTTGTTTCAGTCGTTTGTTTGGTGAAGCTTTTCTACCTTAGTGGTAGTCGAGGCATTTTAAAATGTTTATCATTCACCCACTAACACATACATCAACAGTAGTGGAGCTGCAGCGCAAGGTGCTTGCCTGCCTTGAACCACCAACCCTGCAATTAGTGGACCACCAAACCCACGGCCGATCCAATAAATAACTGTTTGTCAAATTAGGTTTGCCCAGAGGCAATTCAGGGTCTTACACACTCTGGGACAAAATGACTAATAAATTTGTTTTTGACTCAATGACAGGAAAAGTCCCGGAGGTAATAAATAAAGGGTGGCAAGATAATTGATACTCACCTGAAAGAACGGTCAATAATAGTTATAACATCTCCGTGCTTCAGACGGTCAGACTGCTGCAAAGCCTCTCCATTGACACGTGTTGGATTTGCTGAGCTCAAATTGGTCAAAATGACCTAAAAAGAGGGAAACACAAAAATCTATTTAAACACAGCCGTAGTAGCTCAATGCAGAATATTAGTGTCAGCTACAGTTTCACTTCTGTCTAAGTCGAGGTGTTAGTTTAGAAACAAAGCAATGAGAATTTTTTTAATCACTTAAATGAAAAAACAAACAAAACAAAAAAACACCAAACATCAAAAATGAACTTAAATCACAGTGAAAAGTTAAAGTGGGGAATTTAAATGTTAAATATGTGTTGGTACCTCTTTATTTTCATTCAAGTCAATTCTGCAATGCTCCCTGGAGACTTGAGGAAGCTGAATACGAATATCGCAGTCAGTGTTCCTGTGAGACCACAAACAGACAAACGTATCAACACAGGAGGCATTTGGAAGCATAGTGGGGAAAAAAAAGAAAAAAGAGTGGACTGTCAACATGTTCTAATGTATCTGGTGGTTGTTCAAAAGAATGGACATGAATGAAATGTCCCCAGATCCAAAATTAAGGTCAACTTGTAAACTGACAGTTTTCATTTGAATCCTCCCTTGTTTGATTAGAAGGATAAAATAGTTCGGCTTGTAAATGTCACAGAAGCTTGTTACAATTTATCATTCTGTCATTCGACTGGTGACAAATACCCTTTAAACAAACAAACAAACAAAAACAACACTCTACTATCTACCATATTCCCTGATCAAATTGTCCTCTCTGCATATTAAAGATGTACACTAATTTACTTTTATCATCATCTTTAATTCAACTCCTACAGCCAAATTTGGCCAAGTGCTGTCCTCTTTGTAAATCAGAATAAAAGGCCAGAATCGCAACACGTCTTTTGGTCTGTCATTCCAGTTTATTGCTGCTAATGATACCAATTTGTTACAAAAATACAATAAAACTAAATAAATCTATCTCAGTCATTGCTTTTCAGGGTCTCCTTCTAGATTATATTTTTCAAACCCTTCTTGATTTAACCTTTAAAAGCTAATTTGTGTATTAAAGCATGGTTTCACGAGTGCATCTTTGACTTTGTTTAAACACTGCAAAACTACTCCACGCTACACAATGACAAGTTGTAATGTTGGAGTAATTCAGCCAAACATGCTGAACCTGGAAACTGATTTCTAAAGAAGACAGTGGTACGGAAAGCCCCGCCTTGCAACTTGGCAGGAATGGTTTCTTAGGTTTGTTACGTATGAAAACCCAGAAGTCTGAATTTGTGTATTTAAGACTGGCATTGCTACACTGCAGTCGAAGACGCCTAGCCATGGTGCCGATGGCTTATTATTCTCATGATGTGTCTTCCAGCATATAATAAAAAAGAAAAAAAAAACACCACAATCGCATTTTAATAAGGTAGAAAACTTCCACCAAAGAGTTGTTTTCAATGACACTTATAAATGGGTTTTACTTCTGTAAATTAACAAGTCACTCTTGTGTTTTATGTTTATATTTCCTCCCACTTCCTCTATTGCGCTACAAGTGTCTTCTGAGGTAAAACTGAGTTGTTGTTGTTCAGGTTTTTTTTATTTCTGTAATGACAGGAGCAGACATGTGGATGTTCTACGTCATCCACTGATGGCCCTCCTCCGAACATGGAGTTAAACAGCACCTCTAACTGCAGGCTACACATAGTGAATGCTGACTACTGTGACATGTGCATGTGTTGTCTGTTGTACAAACATATCTATTTGCATATCTCTGGAATTAAGACGAAATGAGAGAAAAGCAGAGATTTAATGTTAACTCTGACAACATAACATGGTAAACTGACATCATATTCACCAAATGCATTTTATTGTTCTCACCTTCCAAACAAGCATGTTGCAGTGAGAGGAAATTCAGTCCCATCTCCTCCACTCCTCTTAATCACGACTATTTTCCCGTGTAATGGCATTTTTTTTTACCTGGAAATATTACCAAACAAGTGTCAATGTGCACAGAACTGAAAAAAGCAACACCAAGTTGTCAATCAAACTTTAATTTTTAAAGATCAAAGAATTTCAACGTTGAAGAAAGAAGCATTTTAGAGACATATAATAACCAGACGATGTTTGTGGAGGGGAAGTAAGCATCATTTATGTGCTTGACGACATTTAATTTGCAACTAGCTTAAGTTAGCTAGCCCAAACTATGTTTCATCATCGGGCAATATAAACGTAATTGGACGTTTTATTGTACTAACACGTTGTTCGTAAGTTAAAACGCTGCTGACAATTCTGCGACATCCCACGTGTGATGTCGCCTCGATAGTAACGCTGTAATCCTGCCAGAATGAGCCAACAACGTGGAAAGTTTAGCGTTATCGGCATCTAGCTAAACCACACAACAAGATGTGCTATTTTCCCTAAGCTAGCTTTAACGCTAACGCTAAAACTTGACGTCGTGTCGCCATTACTACACAACGATATATGTATTTTAAAAAACTCAACGCTAAGTTAGAATTATTGTAGTCTTACCTGAAAGTCCGTTTAAAGATGTACCAACTTCTGTGAATCCATAAACATCGACCAGGACGCGACAATAGAAACTTTACTCTAATATCATAAGACTAAAAGCAGTAATGATAACCTAACATACCGACGACTATCTAACGTTTACTACTTTGAACAGTCGTCCCTTGTTGTCCGTCGCCTCTTCCACAGAGGTTCTCGGTATCATTCCGCCAAACTGCACACACGTTGAATGCCTTCAAAAATACTTGCATTAACTAGTGTTTTTGATTGAATATATTGCTTATTTTGTGCCACTGCGTTTTTAATGTTCATTTTAATTGTTTGAATCAAACGTAACTCACATTTCCTTAAAAGGGACTATTTTGTTTACAAATTTGGCGGAACAATCTCACTTCGGAGACGAAATAGTGATTTGAAAATATTTGAAATTCCGCGCGAAGGGTTGTGATTGGTCGAGACGTCACTGTCACACAAGGAGGGCGGGGCTTATCAGCAGCGTTTAAACAGCTGCTTCCTGAAAGTTGAGCTTCTTGATGTTAGAATTGATTGTAAAAGTGGAATAACTTACTTTGATCACAAAAATAAAGAAATAGAATTCCTAATTAATTTAATAATTCTAATTGGCAAATTAAAAGTTCACAATTGTAGACTGGCAAATGTGAAACCAAATTTTGTTCAATTATCTATTGACTTTGAAGAACATATTAAAACATTAAATAATATAAAAACGAAAAAAAGCAATAAAACTGTTAAAATGTTTAAAGAACGGTTCCAAAAAGAACAATGACAGCCCTTCTCTTGCTCCCTTTGTGTTTTTTGGGGGTTTCTTTTAATTATATTGCTTATTTTTTAATTAACAGAATTTAAAAAAGTTTTTCGAGCACATGTCTGTCAAATTGCTTGTTCATGTTATTTGTACAATTTTTTGTATGTACATCCATTGTTAGATAAAGTTCTGTTGTTTTAAAACAACATTATATATATATATATATATATATTATAACAACAACATATTTGTTAAATAACAAATAAATAAATAACAAGAAACTTTAGCATCAAGAAAGGATTGAAATGATTTTCAAAAACAGCCTCGACTACATATAGAAAGGCAGCTGGTTCATGGGTTTAACATAGAAGAGATTTGCAGTGAATAGACATTATTTATAGTCCTGCATTCATATTTACAACAATAAAAGGTGTTATTCAGACACATTTTGGCATTTAGTTCCAGAAAATGCACAGATTTAATTAATAAAGGTAACAAAGGCTGATGTGCATTTATGCGTTAAAGTGTCACAGCACTGGTTTGGATGACTCACTCATCTAAATGGAAACTCATTCACGCTATTAGACACGCTTGTGCTTTTCCTGCCATAATGTCAATTCTTTACTGAAAATTGTTTTTCTAATTTGTCTAAAAATGCATCAAACAAAAGTGCAGATGGAGCATGCAAACAGAGTTTTTCCTGACTTGAATGAAAAGTTCAAAATCTCAGTTTTCTTTGAAAATGCTTACATTTAGAAGACAAACATTTTTGAAATTGTTCAACTGGTGAAAAAATTCTCGACCATTGAGCTAATCCACACACTCGTTATGTGTGGCTTTAAAGGCAATCAGATGGAGCGACCAGCACACAGACGCTCATTTAACCAGTGACGATAAAAGCCCACTTTAAAATGCAGATTTATTCAACTGACACGATGCCACATATGATTAGAGAAAGACAAGAACTGAGATGCTGGCAGGTTCGTTGGGGCCGTAGTCCAGCACTTTCTCAGAAATCATTTCATTCAGCTTTGAATGGACGCGGCGGACAACATACCCCTGTGCCTTTAAATGTCCACCAACTTCCCCGAGCCCTTCAGGAAGCTTGGGACAATGTTCCACGAGCAGCATCAACACTCTCACTTACTCACTGTGTTGCAGACGTGTGACTCATCCCTGATTTGTGATTTCTGGTCTCTTGATCTATCACTTGCAGGACAGTGTGTGCTTCATTGTTTCATGACATTCATGACCTTAGGTTGTGGAGATGTCACATGATAGTACAAATATAATATCACATGCTGCACTTTTATTATCGTTCAGTGTAAATATGTTAAGAAACTGCTGTTGGGGGAACAAACTATATTTTGTGCAATGCTTGTGGCTGGCTTCATTGTCAATATATAATTCTTGATGCCTAAAGTCAAGAACAGAAGTGTCAGTCTGAGTCTAACACACACAGTCAAGCCAGTTACTCTTTTATATTGGTGTTGTCTTCACCATGGCAGTAACCTTTGCACTCAGCATTGCATGTTTTGATATAATAATCAAAGTATTGTGCATTATCTATATATAGATAATGCATAGTCGAGTAAATCTAGCTTAAGCCCAGCTCCAGGTAGAGAGCTGCTGCACAATGTAATTTTCTTGAGCCCTCCTATTTTTAAAGTGCAGCCATATTATTTTCTCAACAGCAGCCTGTTACAGAAGCACAAGTAGAAAGGAGCCGTAAAGTCAGCGGACTCGCTCTAATGTATGCTATACAGCAATATATTCAAAGTTTGCTTACACAAACCTGACTACTGATCACACTTGAACAAATAATGCTGCAATATGTCCGTGTAGATTCTCAGTCATTTGGGTCTTGGTAATCTGAGGAGCTTCGGTAAAAAGCAACTGGACTTTTCTTTGATGTTTTCTTTCTCAGTTGTTACTAAGGTCATGAGATCCTAATGCAGATTTTGATTAAGGTCATGAATATTCTTGGGCTCCAGTTTGCACTGAATTTAAGCGTCATCCATGACCTAAAACCTTAAAGTTTCAGTCTCTGTAATGCTATGCTGTTACAACCCACAAAAACAAGGCTTCCAGAAAGTGTTTGGAAAATTACTGACTGCCTCCGTGACCAGCTTGTTTGTACGGCTGTGATCCTCCGGCTGCAGAGAACGAAAAGAATGACACACGAACAACGCAAACACGTTTAATTATTAAATGTTGGTTTTTATTTTTTTATCTTTTTTTGTTGTTTTGTCTTTTTTTTCAAAGTCGCTTGATAATCTTGACAAAATTGCAACATATTCCATACTTCTCAAACTGACGGTGTGTCTGTTGCTATTCCAGATTAGCTGTGGAGGGAAAACTTGTGCGCTGTTCTGGACAGGTTAAAGTCCTAAATGATGAAAGCAGCTTTGACCGTACAAATAAAAAAAGTACACATGAACGACTCAGAGAGACTCCACACTGGCATCCTATGTGTGTAACGTTGACGGGGGTCAGGGTCGGCGTCTCTCTGCATAAAGTCCTGGTCTGCCAGGCCTAACAAAAGTGAGTGACTGAAGAAAAATTCAGGGGCTCAGTAGCAGAAGTGAGTGTACATGTGCATCTGTGATCGGAGGCTTTAGGGGGTGCAGCACAGAACATATACAAATAACAGGCCAAGCACACAAAATGATTCCTTCCTGAGACATTGGTGTGTGTACAGTAATGATGGTCTTGATGACGTGTGTTAATGGTGAAGGCGTTTTGGTGTAAAGTGAGTCACAGGGCGCGAGGTTGCTCTGGATCCGGCATAAAGTCATACTTGTTTCTACCACAGGTTGCCAGGCGGAGGTGGTGGGGGTGGGATTTGTGAGGACTTAGCTGACAAACATCACATTTGGGACCTTCACTTGTCTGACCACTGACAGAGCAGAGGGGCCACTACAATCGTCTCCCGTCCACTGCAGATTGATCCATTCGGAGAGGGCTGAGAATTACTCGTGTTTAATACAGAGTGTATGTACACCATTTCTTCACATTTTAATTCTCTTTGAAGCTGAGCTGTCGTCTTTTAGCCCACGAGGCTACAAGATGGCACCGAACTCACCATTTTAGGGAACACCTTCTCTTTCTGCTACATGGCCAAAAAAGCTATGCCCCGACAGGAGTGCTACTTTGTTATCTACTGTACATAAAAAACAGGCTTTTAAAAACAAAAAGGGGGCAAAAAAGGGTTGAAATTGTTTGTGAAAGCCACATTCTGAACAGCCAGTGATTGGTGAAGGGTCTGTCCACTATTGAGTAGGGACACAAAAACATGAAAGAACTTCCTTCAGTAAAATGTGCTCAAAATGTCTTTTTTTTTCTCTTGAATCACAAACCTATAAACAAAACACATAAAAGGTATTCTTAAAAAAAAAATCAGGTGAAGCCTAAAACTCTTCATAGTTTTAAAGAAATGAATACAGCTTATATACACAAACTCAAAGGCTACTTAAAATACACCTTAATAATGAATCTTCATTAATTTGATTTCTTGAAAGGACCTGTGACCATATCATACAACCAAGTTCATACAATCATTTTTTTTCCCCATTCTCTTGGAAGAAAAAGAAAAAAACAAAGAAAAAAAAAGGAAAACAAATCCAACCTGGAATAGTGGGTGATATTCATTGCGACTTGTTTTCTGTACACATTTGAGAGTGTGTGTGTCTTGCATGTATATGTGTGTGTATGTGTTTGCATGTGTACATTGGAGAGAAATTTCAACATCTTTTGCTTTTTGTTAATTAGAATAATGTACAAATGTGAAACTGAAACATCTCTCTCAATACTCTTGATGGGTATGAAAAGATTCAAACGGTGAAGGAGTACAACAAGTTCTAATCTCAGCTCAGAAAACATGTCCTCATTTCAACCTGCCATTCTGCTCTGGACATGTCAATCACAATAGTTCCTTAATTTTTCTATATATATTTATATATCTTTTGTACGAAATCTGTTTTTTGAAATTGGAAAAAGAGAAAAGACCCAAAGTCTTTGAGGAGTGGGGTCTTTTGACGAGTCCCAAAGTTGCAGTCTGCCTCAGAGTACAACAAAAAAAACAAAAAGTGTCTGGTGTTCGTCTCAAGTCAGTCTGTTTTTCATTGTCAATAGATTTGCTCCGTTGTGCCACACCCACTCTCAGTTTCGCTCAAAACTGGTCTCCGCTGCGTCCAGATTTGCTTCGATCAGTCTTTCCCAGAGATGGTGGAGAGGGGAGGAGCAGCAGTGGAGAGGAGAGTGGGGGGGAGAAGGAGGAAGAGTCATCAGCAGTGTTTACGGTGTGGTATCTTGGAGGCATCCTGTTACCCCGGCCTGCTCCAGCCTCACCTCCCCTCACGTCCGGACGGTGGTTCCAGACTGAGGGAAAAGCAGATCAGGAGATGGGGATTTGTGTTGTAGGAGAGGAGGAGGTTGGCTCTGCCAGTCTCCTGTGTTCAGCAGTTAGGGTCAAGGCCCACCTCCTTCGCCCCTCCTCTTCAGAATGAGGAGACAGAGAGCAACATGAGGAAAAAAATAAAAAGGTGGGCCGCAACTACGGCGATTGTGTGGCTGGACTGCTTTGGGCAGAGCTGGGGGACAGACTGGGGCTGCAGCTGCCTGGAGGGGCTCCACTGGGCCGGCCGCCTGCTGCCCCGCACTCCAGACCTTCTGAGTTCTCCAGCATCTCCTGGATGAGAGGCGGCATGGAGCCGGGGATCTCCATCTTCAGAGTGATGACACGCTCAGCTCCTGCAGAGGGGATCAGAGAGGCAGAAAAATGTAAGCTACCAAAGTTCTAACAAAATACACTGTTTGTACTAAAGCAATAATTATCTTGTATTCTGTCTAATATGATATAACCAGAGAATGCAAGAAAGTTAAACATTTTAAGATGCAAACAAGAAAAATGATCAACTGAACTAATCTTTTTAGTCCTATTCACATATAAACACTGGTGGACCACAGACCTTTAGCACTGATGCTTCTCAGATCCGTGATCTTCATGAGCATCTTGGGGAACATATGCGGTTTATGGGGCCTCCTCTTCCTTACATAAATCTTCAGCGCCTCCAGAAGGGGCTCCTGCAGGATGTCCACCTTGTCTGCCTCTTCCAAGTCCTGTCGATCTGTGGAAAAACCCAGAGTGCAGGAAAAAAACGTGTCAGTACTCTCCAACTGTCACAATCACAGTCAGCCACGAGGTAGTGCTCAGTGAAGGAGTGCGGCGTTGGTACCCTACTGCTGCTACAGTCTGTCTTTGTTTTCAGGGCAGAAAAGGGGAAAGGAGCTTTAATAAACTGTAAAAACTATTTCCGTTAATGTAAGGTGCATTGTTTTATTGACTTGTCGTACCTCCACACAGCAAACAGATGGCGCTGAGCAGCCCCGTCTCTGCATCGTCCATCTCCAGAGGAAGGAGCTGGTTGGCGAAGGCAAAAACCAGGTCAGTAAGGGGACCAAAGCCGGCGTTGTGCATCTGGGTTCGGTTTAGCGTGAGTCCATCTGAGAAAGTCATTGTGTCTTGCTCTGGTGTGTAGCGTGTACAGATCCGCAGTATCTGTGGACAGCAGGGACAGAACAGGGTAAGCGTTTAACACAACAAATGTACACCCCTGCTTTAAATATTCACACAAAATATGGTAACGCTCTGTGAAATCTTGCGAAGAAAAGCTGTTCGTACCAGGATGTCCAGACATGCGGCTTTGAGCAGAGTGATCTGGTCGGCGATGGTAAGCGTCGTGAAGCCGGGCAGCTGCTTCGCAAACTCCACTGTCTTTATGATGCACTTGGTTGAAAGTTCACTGAACTTGTCCCACAGATCTACGTCCAAAGATACGCGTCGTTCCGAGCTGTTGGTCTGTAAAAATGAAGACATTTGATTTATTTAGAAATTAAGGTGAAAACAACTTAGATGAAAAAAAAAAGAATGAATATGGGGACAAACAGATGGTCAGCTTCATGCCACTGACCGTAGTGTATTTGCCCAGCTGGCAGAGAGAGGGGAAAGTATCCTGGTGTGCCTTGCGAACCCTGTCGATCATCTGTTCTGTGTCAGGACTCAGCACGTAGCTCTCTGTGCACTCCTGCTTCTTCTCATCCTTTTTCTTCTTGTTCCGATCATTCCTCACCGCTACAGAGAGCAAAGAAGCACACAGATTAGTATGTATGACAACAACGTTTCTTTAGACTTTACATCTGAGCTCGAATTTCTTAAAAACAGTCGCTCACATTGCATCTCACCAATCAACTCAATTATTGCATTCACCCTGATATTTGGATTTATTTCAGCTTGCTGTATGGTGTGCAGCCTGTTACAAACTGCATGCAAGCACACGGCAAACACGACCTGGATGTTACGTGTCGCACATTAGCACCTCCTGACACCACCTCAAGTTAACCTGAGATCCAGATCAAAGGCAAAGTCATCAGCAGGAAAGGACGCTCTGTCTGCAGCAAACAGCAGCAGCATCTTTCCTATCCGATGCTTTAAGATAAATGTAGTGAGACAGCTCCATCCAGGAAGGTCTATGGTAATGGAGAAAGAAAAAAAAATAAAACCTTGAAAAAAAAAAAAATCCACTGTTGTTTCCCTCTGGGCGATCTGGCTCAGAGTAGTGTGCTCACCCCAAATGACAAAAAACACTAGGCGGGGTGTTTAGCATTGGAATCCCATTACAAGCTCGATCCATTTCTCCCAGCCCATCTACACTGGGGTGCAGCTTAGCCGTGTGTACGTTGTGTATGTCTGTCGGTGTGTGTGTGTGTGTGTGTGTGTTGAGGCTGGAGGTGGATTGGGTGAGATGGGGTGCTAGTTGATAAATAGTGGTGGGGGATGGCGCTATCCATAAGGCTGACAAATTGCCACAGCTTTCATTAGGGGTCCCAGCTAATCTAATAACATAATATGACAAATATCCTGCCTCTAATGGTTTTAAAAGGGCTCGGCTGCGGAGCCATGCCGGAAAAAACCTTCCAGCTTTCTCTCACATCTCTCTCCCTCTCCTGGTTATACAACACATTCTCGCTTTCCTTTCAGTTTCTCTTAACAGTCTCTCCTTTCTAAAATCGCTTTCTTCGGCTTTAAATCATCCGCCCTTTCCTAAACTCATCTCTATCAGCTCTCCAATCTCTGCCTCCCCTCGAGCTACCTGCATTTCCCGCAGCCACTGACCTAAGATCAGATTTTCCTTGTCTTAATCATAACCTTGACCATTAAGGGCGAGAGCGCTCAGGCTGATGGGAGATCAGTGTCTTTGACAGAGGGGCCTGGACCGAGGCCAAGGAGGGAAGCACTGCTCAGTGCTGCTGCTCATTCATCAGCCCACAGACAGGCCTCCCTGCCTGGGAGAACATGAAGGGAAGGAGGAAGGCGGGGGCTGGAAGTCTCATCCTGCATTATGTTATTGCTAAGCACGAAATGAAGAAGACCCTGCTGTGATCCTGGTAATGCATTATTTTCCAGTGTTTATTGGTGCTCATTTGGCAGGCAAAAGTGTAGCCACCAAAACATGCAGAGGAAAACAGTGAAGAGTGACCAATGATGATTGAAGCCTTATATTATACAATATGTTGTGATGATACAGTTTACTAAGCCATGACAATGAAAACAAGAAAAACACTGACTTCCATTTTCTTTAATGAGCTAATTAAGACTTAGTTAGTGAAGGAACGCCCCGTTTGACAATGCTAAGCTTTGGAGGCCGGTTGCGTAAAACTGTAGTAAGCCGCTGAGCATATTTGGGCCAGCCATGCTTGTGGGGCTGATTGGGAATCTGTGCCCTGTCTGCCATGACGGGAGGGGCGGAGGGCTGCAACACAGTCAATGTCCAATTAATTCACAAATAAAAGTGGGGCATCCCAAGTGCCCAGACATTACCCGCACTGACAAATTGGCAGCACAATCATAAGCCGCACAACACAATTTAATGAAGTCATTAAAGAACTATTAGGCACGACTGGCGATCTGTCATGGCGAATTGCCACATGCAATAACTTGGGAGGGGGGGAAGGCCTGTAGGGGGGGGGGGGGGAGCGCAAATGAAAGAAATACTGCCTGGATTTTTTTTTTTTTTAGTGTGTGTGTGTGTGTGTGTGTGTGTGTGGGGACACAAATGCGCGCTTGATGTTTGTGTATGTCAACTTCCAGCAATGCATCTTTCAAAATGCATTATGAGAATATGAATGCTAATGGGGGAACTTGCATCCTGGATTGTTTGCAGTTACGTGCTCATAGCATAAAAATGATTTACAAGAGCCGGTGTGTAACGTGTACAGAATACTGTGACGGCACAAACACACACATGCCCGGCCATCACTCAATCATTCGTTCTCAGAGTGGATTTCGGCTGCGGCGTGCACTTAATAGACGATTTCGGCGCGGCGGTGTGTATGCATTTGTGCGTGCGCGTGTTTGTGTCTGTGTACAAGACAGAGAGAGGTGGGCAGACAGGGATAATTCGTGTGAGGAAAATTAAAGCGCTGGCAGCTCGTCCATCACACAGATTAAATTCAATGGAAAGATAAAAATGTCAATGTTCCCCCTGCTCCTGCTGCTCGCAGCGCAGAGCCACCGTCGACAGTGATGAAACTTTCCCCCTCTCTCTGTCCTCCAGCCTCTCTCATCCCTCCCTCCCCCACCTTTTTGCTCTCTCAAGTCTAGATTTTCATTCTCGCTCACACTGGGTTCAATACTCTTGCCTCTCACAGCCTTCATCTTTCTCTGCTATCCTGCCTCTCTGGCTGATGTTATCCTCCCTTTGCACTGTTCTCCATCATTCTGTGCTTCATCTTATTTTACTTTTATTACTTTTTCTATCGCTGAATAACACCTTCCTCGAGGAAAATGTGGGCGATAACTTTGAGAGTTAGACAAAAAAAGAAAAAAAAGAGGAGGAGGAGGGGTTTCTGAGGGACAGCGGCTGCTCTGAACTCTAACATAAACACAGTATGTGCATACGGTCGTACCGAATGGGAAAAAAAGGACGAGATTAAGCAGCGGGAATGCATTTGTTGTTGCTCAAATGTGACGTAAATGCAGCCTTATTTTAGCATACTGTCTTTGTGCTTCTCATCTGTTTGAGAACACATTTCTAAAAGACTCCCAGACAGATCAGTTTTAATTTTCTAGAGGCCTGAAGATGTGAAACTACCTGGTAATGAACAGGTAGAAAGCAAACACAATAGAAACGTCATAGTTTTTTTTAAACTAGTGATCCGTTGGAGAGGTTCTAGTCCCGCATTGGGAGTCAAAATAATAGACTCAACATGCAGTAAGTAAAATTTTAAAATTTTTAGCTATCTAAACATGATTGTGAAGATTTATTTATTTACTTTCACCTCTACTTCATAGGACAGTGCAGAGAGTAGAGGAGAGAGAGCAGGGAAGTGACATGCAGCAAATGGTCATTGAACCAATGGGAATTGAACCAAGGATCCGCTGCTCAGGGCGTATGTGCCCATATGGTACGCGCACTAACCACTCGGCTATCACGTTGCCTCAATTGTGAACTTTATTTTAGATAGAGACTTTTTTTTTCTTTCTTTTTTCTAAATATCATATGTTACCCTTCATTTTGGCCATACATAGCGCTCTGCTTTAACCACACATTGTCGGGTTGACAGCTAACTGGCAGTGGCTTGCAGGCGTTTTCCCTTGTAACCCTGCGCTCGCTCCCCAAACCCTCCCCCTCCCTCCTTCTGATGCCGTCTTGCTTGGCATTGCCACCTGGCAGCAGGCCTGGCACTGTCGTCTGGAGCTGTCTGCCAGCAGACACAAGGTCACCCAGACGTCCCCTGGCGCTAGCAGGGGGTCCACCTTCTGTATGTGTGCGTGACGGACAGTGTATGGCGTTCTAAGTGGAGCTGTCAGGGCGTATTTCTGCTAAAGCGTTTTTATTCATACCAATTTGTGTTTGTCACTTCATATGTGCATAATTTGAGTGTGCGCATGAATTTATGCGCAGGCAAGCATTTTGATGAGCGTGTGCGTTCTCGGGTGTGTGTCACAAGCGCTGAGAGTCCCTGCTGGCCCCCAGATGGCCAGCCTCTCCCTCCTCACCAGCCCAGACCAGTTTCGCTGGCCAAAGTCACCGTTGTGACCACAAGACAAAGCAATCTGCACACTCGGCACAAAATGACCACAGTCTGAAAAACGCATTAAACCGAAAGTAGCACAGCAAAGGTGGGAGGAAATCTATAAATCTATGATAAAATTTCCAGCCTTGAGTCCATTCAGAAAAATTCTCTCACCTGCCTCTTTTGCAGTACAACAAATTCACCACTAGATGGCTCTCCAATTCCAGTCTACTCCCCTGTAGTGTGCCTCAGTGCACACGTGTGTGTAAAAGAACTGGCTGCTGTGATCCTTCTAACCATGATTAATGGCCCCATTCAAAGCTAAGGAGCTCAGAGGATAACTTCTTTTACTGTAAGCCACAGTGCTGTGGCATGGGGAGCGCTCCCTGCACTTGCTGTACCACAAAGATGAGGTAAATAGCGCTGGGAAGACAGGAGGCACAGAGAGACGGAGCAATGAGGGCTGCATGCATGTGTGTTTAAACAGGTGTGTGTCTGGAAGAGGAGGAGAGGTGCTGTAGGTTCTGTTTAAATACTGATACGTGTGTTTTAAAAGAGCAGTTAGTGATCGCATTGATTTGAAAGAGTGTATCCCAAACACACACTGGGACATTGTGTAGAATGGTAGTGGCTGAGTGTGTGTGTGTCTCATAGTGTGTGTCATGTGATTGTGTTGAGGTAAAAACCCTGCTGGCCCCTGAGTTCTCTGCGGTCACACCTCTACCAATTACTTTATCAAGTCTGACTGCCTGTGTGTATGAGTGTGTGAGTGTGTATGTTCACACAGCCCCCGGGGTGCAATGATGGGAGCAGACGCCTGCTCTTTCACTCTCGGCAGGTGAGAACATATTCATCACGGAGGCCTGCCAAGCCTGGCGACACCCTGACTGTTACTGCCAGTCTGCATCATGGCTGCCCTTTGTCTCGCCTATATGGTTGATATTTCATTCCAAAATCTCAAAGCTAAATAAACAACAACTAAAAGATTTTGTTTTTGCTTTGCTAAACAAAAAAAAAAAGTCTCATTAAAATGACAAAAAAATTTCCGCCCACACAGAGCATTATGACATAAGTTCTCAGATTGCTTTGGAAGATAGTGAGTGCAGTCATGGATTAATGAAAAATTAAGCGTCCACGTTCACCCGTGAATCACTGCCAAAGCTGATCTGTGTGTGCTTCAGTGGTGAACACTTACGCAATGCTAGTAGTGGAATAAATGTCAACAAATGCTGCGACTTAAGACTTCCCGCAGTGGTAACAATCCCACTAACCCCTGTGGGATTAAAGAACTATGATGAGATCTGTGCTTGGCCTTAAAAGCCCTGTGGGAGCATTTTGGGTGACATGAATTTTGTACTCACACTCCTTTGACATCCCCACTTCCAGGCACTTCTGCAACCGACAATACTGGCAGCGATTGCGGGTGACTTTGTTGATGATGCAGTTCTTCTCCCGGTGACAAGTGTACACCATGTTCTTCTGGATGCTTCTCCGAAAGAAGCCCTGTGAGACACAACGACAGAGCGATAAGGCATTGAAGAGAGAGGGCAAGTGTTGGTGGAGGGACGGACAGAGATGGGACTGTCTTGGCAAGGAGAGCATGAATTACTCAGCTTATATATATACATTAGACAGCCACAACATTACAATCGTTTGGCCGATGTTGTTTAGATGCACCATGTGTGGACAAAAACAGCTCTGACGCCTCCAGTTCTGATGCTCACACGGCCGTTGGAGGGGCTTTTCGCGGTGGACGGACGTCAGCATGGGCATTATCTGGGACAGTCCTATTGGCAACAAGCTCTAACGTACAGTTTGTTCTGATACTTTTATATCACAGCCAGCATTTAGGTTTATAGCAGTTTGTGCCACAGGAGCTAATCAGTGGGATCAAACCAAACAGGAGAGCCTTCATTCCTCATGCAGATCACGAAGCTTAAAGTGTATATGACCCTGCTGTCAGGTAACCAGTTGTCCTGTCTTGAACCGTTTTTGGTAGCTAATAACCCCTACATACTGTGAACGCCCCACAAGACCTGCCTTTCTTTTTTTTTTAGATGCTCTGATCCAGTCATGTAGCAATCACAGCTTGGTTCTTGTCACTCAGACCCCCATGCTGCCCATTGTTCTTGCTTCCTTTTCAAATTCATAAACTGAATGTTCACTTGCCGCAGAATATATGCTTGACAGGGAGACATTGTGATTTAGGATTTCATGACAGTCCTTGAAGTCTAATCAGAGCTTCAAATCATGATATTTCATTCGGTCCCCATTTCTTGTTTAAAGATTCTACAAAATTAAACTGTTTGCACTATTCAGATTTGATAAAAAACAAAAAAAATGTGAAGGCATCAGTGACTCTTTTCATATTGTGCCTGTGTGTTTCCAGCGGTTCAGCCACCCGAATCAAGCAAACAACTCGCAAAGGTCAAAAAAATACGAAATCAAAACGAGGCCACGCAGAATTGCCATATACAGCTGCAGTTAAGAGGCAATGAACTACCAAACAGTTAAGTCCATAAAGGGCTTAACCCGTCACATAATCTGGACAGAGACTAATACTGGACTGCTACCATCTTATGAGGTTGTCCACCTGCTCACTGAGGTCCACGTCAGACGCACAAACATAAACTGCTTCTGGAGACGTTACAAGTCCAGAGGCATTTGGGGCAAAAGGCACAGGGTTACTGGGTGTCACATAACTGTGGCCTAGTTTAGACAGCCAGAAATAAGCAATTCTAGATCCAGGCCAAGCGCATATTATTAGAGAGACAGAGACCGTAGGCTGAAAGTGTTGTATAAGGATAAAAAAAAGAATCCATATTGTTCTACATGAATCCAACGGGGCCAGAACAAACAAGAAAATAAATTCAAAAACTTAAGTCTAAGCCGATGAGACAGAGAACAAAGCATAATGAGCTCATCTTTGGTCACTGGGCTGCAATAGGAGATCTTCAGGGAAGACTAACAATGTTTTAATTGAAACAGCAAGACATCTCCCACACTGATGCAACACACATCTCCCTGTGAACGTTAAAAGCAGCCTAAAGCAGTCCTAAACCTGCTAGAAAACAATTCACAAAGTGAGCAAAAAAGACGAAAGAAAAACTGACCACATTTCAAAGTTCTGAGCTACAATTTTTTTTCTGATTCTGAGGACAGAGAGAGCTGTATTTTTTGTTTTATGGATGGAAATACGGACTGCATTGGTGTTAATACCGAGTCAACAATGACAAATCACTCGAGAAGCCATGCAACACAACTTTTATTCCTCTTAATACTACGCAAACACAGTAAAATCAATGTTAACCTCTGTGGCCTTATTGTACAAATGTCCCCTGTGTGTCAAAAAGATAAAAAGAGGTTAATACAAATCAGGCACAACTGAGTGAGTGCGCAGCATGCACAGCTCTGGACGGATGTAATACAGGTCAGAGAGAGTATTGATGCAACGCTGTGGGACATGGGTTATGTTTTGGTGGGTAGGACGGTGGGTAGAACCAGCGGAGGGCGGGTGGAGCAACGGTGCGCCGTGGTGCAGAAGCTGCCAGGGAGCCCCAGCCCATGCAGAGGGATTAGCTCTGCTAGCCGACAGATGGCTGGTGGACCTAAGCCCGCAATTTGTCCTTCCCGGATCACCAGCCTCTTCTCACATCTCCCGTCCACCAGCGCAGAGCGGAAGTGATGCGGGCTTCTGATAAAGAGGAAGTGCGCATGGTTTCTCATGTCTGTCATCTGTCTGGGGCAACGTACTACGAGCATGGGCGTACGTATAGAGTGATATCTGAACATGATGAAAGTGTTTTCTAGCTGAAACAGGAAGTGTGTCAACACTCAGAAGGTCACCTCGTTTGGGTTTTTGTCTGACTTCATTAAATGTTTTGCTTTGGTGTGAAAAACATTTTTTTTGTGACGATAAGGGATGAAAAAATGGCAACATTTTCAATTAATTTGGGCTTTGCTGGCACATTTGCTAGCATGGAAACAGTTTGGTACCTGCAGTAGATAATAAAAGACCCTCAGAAAAGACTTGCTTCCTCCCAACAGGACAGCGAGCGCTGAACAAACAACAAAGTCAACAGATAAAGGCTTTTAGTTTAACGTTATTTCTGGCGGCTGATGCTGAGGGATAAGTCTGTGGTCTTTGTGTGTGCGTATATCATGGCCTCTTTGATCCGGTAGTGCCCCGACCCTGACCCTGACCCCAGTGTCACCGGGGGATTGATCCACTCCCTCCTGACACCATGAGGCTCAGGTGCACTCTTGCAGCACCTCCTGATTGGCTGTTGCTGCTGGCTCATGGGGCCAGTCAATTGTTCCTGCCCATCCCTCCCTCCCCCTCCCTCCATCTTTTAGGAGTCATTGCTTCCTGCGGCCCTTAAGCCTCTTTTTGTATCACCGCTTAATCCACCCGGCGACAAGAGCCCTCAGCGGGCCTGTCAGCCACCCTGCAGTGTTCAGAGGAGATGAGAGCTGCAAGGAGAGGGGGGAGGGAGGGAGGGCAGCATGCAAAAGAGGAGAGAACGGTGACTGTACGTTCGTGACTGCGTGTCATGTGCTCTTTAGTTCACAGCTGTCTACCTGGTAATGAAGCTCACGCGTTTATGAGCGCACTCCACTTTGCATGTGTGCGAAGGAGCGCTTTATTTAAGAGGAAGGCTGGGGGAGTCTGGGGTTGGAGAGTTCACAGGGAAACACAGGAATCCTCTCTTACGTGACTTTCACACTGTGCCCAGATTAAGAGTGTGTTCCCAGCCTCCCGCTGCATGTGTTGCGCCCGTGACCCTGCCTCCCTCACTAAGCAGCTATCGCCACAGCCCACACATTAGCAAAGACATATTCTTGCTAAGAGGGCTCATCTGAAAAATACAGCAAATAGGGGACATTCACGCATGAAGCGGCACATGGGGATTTTCGAAACGTGGTCGCTTCCCCTCCCCTGTTGCAGTGGATACCAGGAAGAGAGATCACCCGCTACGCACTGCCATGCCTCCAAGACAAAAACATAAACATGAGGGGGTGGGCATGCATATTTAATGTTTAAGTGTTAATATCTGCAGGGGAAAAGAAGTGCAATCCTGGTAAGTATGTGCGGGCGGTAGAACTTAAACAACAAACGAATGAGCTGTCTCCAAGTAGCAGAGCTCAACATCCCCCTCCTGTTTCCTCAGTTCGCTGCAGCCCCCAGGAAATGCCTTTGTAGTTTGGCATGCTGCAGCAAAGCCGACGCTGCTAACCCTCAACTTACCCCAGTCTCAGATGAGACGCCACATACATTCACATGCCTGTAGTGTTGAATTATTGAGTGTGCTATGCCAAGTCATCTCCTCTGAAGTCAGAGATACGGTGCATCCTGAATTTTTCAAATTAACACTGCAGCTATTGAGTGGGCAGGCAGCCGGTTCACAGACAGGGGACTCGCAGCTGATACTGGCTGCTGAACTAGTGGGATTTCTGTAGTTTTAGCCAACATTCCTAAAGATTTTAAGTGACTGTGAGGAGTCAGTTCAGTTTTTCAAAGAATCTGATCGAAAATACTGCCATGAATGCCGCATTTAAAATGATTTATTTACCTGAAATACCACTGTTATGTACGCACACAGTTCTGAACGTAAAGGATGAAGACAACAATTTTGGATTATTGGTTGCAAGTAGTCGTATTTTGCTTTAAATAGTCATGCATTTGTTTTGTGTGTGATCATGCCCATGTTGGTTGCATTATTGATAAGCATAATGACCAAGCTTGAAACCACTGCTTGCAAAAAGTGAAATATTCATTAAACGGCTTCAATTTTGAATCAAACTGCTGCTATTCACACCTCAGCCTTAAACGAAGCTGCAGTTAACCAATAAATCTGAATATTGAGTCAATACAGTCAGTCGATATGCACATATCCTCTCTCCGGTTAACAATAATCTACCTCAGCCGTCACCCTGGAAAAAACGATTTTCAGCAGAGAAGGCTTGTTGTTTTATGGAGAAACATTTTACGAAACAAATGCTAAGAGCTGAAAGTTTCTATCATAACCGAGCTGCAGTGTTTTCAGGGGGCAGAGAGTGCATCAGCAACTGACAGTAAAACTCATGTATTGAGTTACTGTTTTTCATTGTTCTAAAACAATTTACACTGCACAATATCTGCTGGTTGACGAATTAAAATATCAACTGTATCCCCAGCATACAAAGAGCTGGCTGCAGAGTCCTGACACGATTTCAGTGCAGACAGAGAACAACACACTAACCACGTAGGAGAAATCACCTAAAATAAAATTTGTCCTCCGTCAGGCTTCCTTGTGTTTATCATACTGTTGCAAAGTTTTTATCTGCTATATGCAAGTGTCAGATTGTGTGTATAATAACTTAAGTCCGCTCCTCAGAACGTGGCAGTTTTAATGCTTCAAGGAATGATTTCTGTCCAACCTCGTTCAAAGATGTGAACAAACCTGCTCCGTACCTCAAAACTCCGATAAAGATTTGTATCGACTTTAATGCACGCCGCTTATTTCTGTTTACATTTTCGCTTAGGCCACATCAGCAATCCACTTAAACCTCTGATTAATGAGAGTTTGCCATAATGAAGGTGACCACTTACAACTTGCACAACCGCTGCCTCTGCCTGAGGCGACGCGAGCTGTGTTCAACGCTCACACTAACCACAGAACAGACACACTACTTTCAGACGCACAAACACACACACACACACGCTACCAAGAGCTGTGATTTAGTCTTATTATTTTACTTATTTAATCCGTATTTATTTAAGCCCTATTTATTCAGTGCCTGTTAGACAATAGAGAGCCGCGTTAAGTGAAAACATTAAAAGCAGATTAAGATGTGAAATAGCCGCAGAGTTTCTTCATACCTTTTGAGATCAAAGTCAGGGGCTTAATACGTGTAAACACCTCAAGGAAAAAAATGGATACACATAAACAGAAACAGGGATACATAACGCAGCTGCTATTGTGAGCTGGCCGAAATCATTTTGGAGAATTGTGATCGTTTTCATTCTTTTGTATTAAAACCAGCTGGATGAAACTAACACAAACTGCACATCGCTTCCTACCACTCCTTCTTCTGCTGTGGTCTAATGTCATCAACCGTTTATCTCGAGGCACTCACCCGACTGCATTTCGATGAGCATCTATTAACCTTAATGTCACGGATTTAGCTACAAAGCCAAACGTCACAGCACCATTGTGGACACATTCTGGGTTTAAGCCAAATGAAAAACGAGACACCAGGAACCGGGAGGAGGTGATTTGCTGGATTTGTAGCCAAAAGGTGGCTTTAAAAGGCACTAATACCAAAAATGTAAAACCTAAGAGAGGTATAAATTGTGTTGTTTGCACAATAATTCATTAACAGCTAGTATTTTGTAGGTAGTATCTGCTCACTGTACCAACCGCTGGCCTTGAGATTAAATTCAGAACTGCAGAAAAAATCCCAACTTGATTATTTAAAGAAGCTGTGCACTGCTAGCTGGATGTGCCACAACCTTAGAAAACAGAGCACAGGCATTAAAAGTTTAAGTTTTCCTCATCTCTCTGTCGTATATATACTTTATAAAGTACACACACCTTCTGGTGCTACTGTGCAGTTCTCCTCATCTCTTTCCTATGTCTGCCTTCAAGGCTGCAACTACCAATTATTTTCATTATCAATGAATTGTATTATTAGTTCGTAAAATAGCAAAAAACTAACACCAGCATTCTCCAGATCCCAAAGTGATGAGTTCAAGATGTTTTTGTTTCACCAGCAGTCAAGCTGTCAAAAAGTGCAGTTTGCCCTACTTCCACATCTCCATATTTTAGAATCTAGGACTATCAAATTTTAAAGATTTTTGCTTGAAAATTGGGTGAAGCAGCGCAGTGAGCAGCACTTTGGTTCTCTCTATAAAACAGCATAGGGGTCAGCTTTTATTTACTTTGTTAACTTTTTATATGTTGCATTTGGGAAGCAGGTTAAGTTTCATGGATCACTCAGAGGGTTTGTGTTAAAGGGTTACATGTGTGTGTGTGCCACACTCTTCGCTTCCCTGTGCTCTCCTCCCATTGCGCATTCTTTACTTATTTTCCCCTTCCCCCGTGCTCCGGGGCGTGGACCGTCTTTCTTTTGGTGTCACTGAGTTCAGCTGTGGCCCCTGTACCCCGTCCGCCTAATCTGCTGCCCCTCCAACCATCCCCTCTTCCCTCTCTGTCTGCCTGTTCATGCCTCCCAGAGCACAGTCTGCTCTCTCACTCCCACTATCTCCCTCCTTGCAGTCTCTCCCATCTTTGAATCGTTTTGTCTGCATTTCGACATTCCCCCTGGGTGCCTGCCCTTCCTTACTGTTTCATATTTTTTTTACTGCATCTGACTCCTGCCTACTTTAGTATGGCTTTTTTCCCTCTCTGCTCTATCCCCTTCCTTCCACAACACTTCCATCCGTGCACATATGGAAACACACAGAGACCGCAGTCTTGGCTGCACAGTCAAAAACTCGGAGGGTCTAGCAAGCATCTGCCACCATTAGCGCACCGCCCTGCTTGTCTTCATCCAACCGCTCCCTACCTCCTCTAGCTGCACACACAGCATGTGTCATGAGCAAACCTTGCAGGGAGGATTTACATACTCATGTTTTTGTGAAGACTCTACGACTTTTGGAAAGTTCTTCTCCATAAATTCAAAAGTGCACGATTGCCAAGAAACAAAAATAAAATAATAATAAAAAAACGCAGTGGATTCTAAAATATTGACACTGCGGAGAAATACAAGTTTGCACCTGGCAGTAACATTATATTAGATTCCACAGATCCCTCCTCCTCCTACTCATCATCGCTATCCTCCTCTGAGCTTACACAACTGTGGCTCCTTGCCTTGGGAGCAGCGAGATAAAGAGCTCTGTGTGCTCACACTAACAGGAGAACATGTATGCATGCACACAGCAACTATCAACTGATAACAGAGCAGATGGAAGTTATGAGGCCTCCTCAGCACCTGTGCAACACGGCTGTATTGATAATAGACGGCCAACGTGGACACGTCAGCAAAGCTGATATGAACAGCAACAACATTCAAAAAAAAAGGACCAAAAAATGCGTGGACGGACAACATTTCACATTCTTAGCAAGATAAGAAGCAGGTCCATCATATATGTTATCTTGTTTTCCTATGAGTGCAGGTGTGAGAGTTGAAAGAGGTCACTGCAGTTCCTCCAGGTCGTATAGATTGTTAGAGAATTTCACAAAGCAAGCAATAATGTCAGCAAATCCTTCTCCACAAATACAATTCTGACTGATTTCCGACATCAAATTCCAGCATTAAACACTGAAAAACTCACAAGGATGTGAAATATCCACAATGACGTGGCTTATCATTTTCATCATCTTGAGTCTCGGCTGTGAAGCTGTGTGTGTGTGTGTGTTTTGTTTTTTTTTTCCAACTGGAAATCACATGAAGGTTATAAGATTGACGAACATCTTGCTTGCTTGGCAGATTCAGAGGAAGGCCAGGAGTCTCACCTTGCAGCCCTCACAGGCGCTGACACCATAGTGGTACCCTGAGGACTTGTCCTGGCACACAAAGCAGGGCTTGTAGACGCGGGGTGGCGGGGGAGGTGAGGGCGGGCTTGGCACTATCTCCTCCGAGCTGGTACTCTGGGTCTCTATCGCTGTGGAGAGGAAAAGAAGCAACAAGAGGGGGTTAGTGAACACTATCAGATGGAGCGCTGACAGACATTCGGCATTAATCGATATGAGGGGGATAAACACACAATCTCATGTGTACACTCACACAGATCCTAAACAACCCAGAGCAGACTGATACACTGTCGACGACATCCAATACAAATCACCAGAAGGGGAACTTACTCACTTTCTAGCGGTGTGTTTGGGAAAAAGAAGCTGAAAACGTAAGGACAACATCTTGATCAGATGAGCCAAAGGAAAGAGTCCATGGCATCGTAACATGTCTTCAAAGAAGAAACAGTTTCGAAAGCACACTTGGATCATCAAAGCGCCAATGGATTCAGCCTCTGCAGCATTTTTTATTTACTGCTGAAATTAGGTCTTGTGAGTGTGTGTGTGTGATATAACAAGGGGCTGCATTGGTAGCAGGGTTCAAAGAGAGGTTTTCTGTGCTGATACAAGGCCTGTAGCTGTGCCTTTATTTATTTTTAAACTGTGCAGTCGTTTTAAGCGCGAGGGCTTCCAAATATTAAAAGATACATCACACACTGTGCCAAAGCTACAAATACTGCTACTGACCAAGCAAGACAAATCTTTGTGACTCAGTCACCCCGCACCAAACACACGCACCTACGCCTTGCTTTTTTGTATTTATTCATACATAAATACGCTTCCTCTTTATCCGGCAAAGGCTACAATGACACTGTGTAGGGCAATTTGTAGGGTAGCCGTATTGTGTTTGCTTGTACACGATAAATAAAGTGACCGGGGATTAAGCGGAAGTAATATGCATTGGACTCTGACCTCAATATCCTGTATGTTAGAAAACACGGCTCTTTAATCAAATATAAAAACATGCATTCGCTGCACTGACCTTTACCCTGTGACCTATCGTTGACCAAATAAGTGTATAATCCCTGTTAGCAAATGGCGAGCCTATGAGCTGCATCTGCCTTCGACTTATGAGTGACCCGTGTCAGGCTTTTTGTTCACCCTGAAGCCAATATATAGGCAGATTTTTGATCTCCAATTGACTATTTTGTGTTTAAATGAGCTAATTTCTTGAAATGAATCAATGATGGTGGTCTGAATACAAATAGTCAGACAAGATTTTGACTGGTAACATGACAAAATATGAATGTTACCAATCTTTGCCAACTGTCACTCCTTGATGTGATTTTTGGCATTGTGGCACTCAAACATCCATACCGGTATTCTATATGTATGCTTACATCTTCTCAGGCCATATTGCTCCACCCACCATCATCAGCTCAACAGAAGAAGGTCTCACAAAGCTGGCAAGCAGCTCAGAAGCTACCTGCACCTCGGTGTTTGCGTGTCAATAAGCCACCTATATTTACCAGAGGGGACTGGTTCAGCAGGACTTGAGTACGACTAGGAACTGACTCCACGTGACAGCACCTCACACAAACGCTCACACTGGACACAACCTGACTGGGCAATATAAAGGAAGCATCAAAGTCTTTGTCTCTTACACACAAACGTGCTATTCTTTCATAATGTGCGTGTGCAGGTCTCTGCTTGCAAGTCTCCACGCTCATGTAACAGATGGCGCAGGGGAAGATTACCCACAGAACAACCTAAATAAACCAACCTGACGACCGTATACTTTCAAGGCTTCCTGGAAAAAAAATAACAGACATCATCACCGTACACCAAAAATCGAGCCTCTCCAAAGCCTCCCTGTTATCTCTGCTGTCAGGAAAACATACTGCATGTCCAAAGTGGGTTTCAGGTGTCTGGGACAGTTAAGCTAAACAGTAATAAAGCTCACATTGCAGCATCTAACAGTGACACTTAATCAGGCCTAGCATATCAAGACATTAAGTCTTTTATGAGGCCCAGATGTCTTATACCACTTCACAGCAACAACAACCCTTTAAAGCTCTTGGTGCAAATGGGTCTATATGAGTTGAAATATGTAGGAAAGTTGGTGACACGGTAATGGTTTTCGATGTTTTTGAAAGAGAAAAGGACTTGCATGGACTGCAGCGTGGAGAAAGCGGCAGGGAAATGAGAGGAAAACAACACTTTTTAGATGATGAAGGGACGCAGGCAGGGAATAACTAAAAAGGCAAAGCTGTGGGAGGGACAGAGAGCTATGATGTGTTTGAGCAATAAGCAAAGACATAAAATAAAAATGAAAAAAAAAAAAAAACGATTACTTTCACCTCCTGTGCGCAGAGAGGGAGCGAAAGCAAGGCTGCATTACATTACTAATATTTTCACCTCAAGTTACAGAGCCATCTGTATTACACACACACACCTGTCTGGATTTAACTTCAAGCCTAGAAAACAATCTCAACGATGATTAATTTTACTGTGACAGCTCTGGCATATGCCTATATTTAAGAACTATATTATTTTGTAGCAAAGGACACGTTCTTTTTACAGCGTTTTAGAAGGAAAAAGGCAATGAGGCGATTTTGTGCAAAGGGGTTTAGGGGATTCAGTCACAGTGAGAACAAGGACAGATTGCGGCCAGGGAGAGTCTGCCCTTTGCTGCTTATTGGCATTTTATTGGTGTCATTTTGAGCCATCTTTGCCCATGCCACTGGGGTAAGCAGTCACCACACTCATGTCAAACAAATTAAACCTAAATAGAGCAGCCCTTACATAACATGGCATATTTTCTCATTAGCAAAAAAAAAAAAACACCCATTCACAGTTTTCTGCGCTCTCCTGCCTCTCTTGATGTGGACTGATTACAGCCCCTGCATTATTAGGGTGACCACAGAGCTATTCATCCACGTTAAAGCTGCCTTCATTAGAAACGCGCGGAGACAAACAGATGTGCCACCCAACCACACACAAAAATTGCTTACATTTGAACAAGCTAAAGGCTTTCCTCTATCCATTAAAAAAATAATTTAAAAAAAGCCCCATCATTTGAACACGCACACACACTCTTAATGAGAGCACCCATGGAAATCTGGGACACAAGGACAAGAGTCTGTGAGGGGGCTGGCGACTGTAATTAAATACAATGGCTGGCTTCTGGAGCCTTGTCAAGCTGAGGCATGGAGCAAAACAATGGCAGGCCTGTGGACAGTGAGGCAGAGAGGCACAGCAGACAGGACAGAGCTACTTAGCCCTTCAGCAGCCCTCACCCAGGCATTATTCAACACCAGCCTGCATCCAAGCTCTGATCAACACCAACCTTCATACAAGCATGCCTATTGTGTGATCCCCCCCCCAAAAAAAAATCAAACGCGCAAACACTGGAAGAACTGACTCACACTTGCCTGGAGAGTTTCCCTCAATATCCTTGCATCACGTTAACGCTGGAAATTTGTGTGCCTGGCAAGGTTTCCAGGCCAGAGCCCCTCCATAGCCAGCAAAGTCGCCACGGTAACTAATACTTGAGCTACAGCTAGAATATCATTCCCTTATCCAAGCGAGAGCTACCATGAATAGACAATAACACCCCAGTTTGCTTGGGGGATGTAGGACGAGAAACCCCCCCCCAGCGGACAATAATGTTTGAGTTAAAAAAGACAAAACAACGAAAGGTAACTGATAAGAAGTCTATTGTACTCTGGTGGGGAGGCGAAACACAAACCATATGGTCACGGCAGTTGTTGTTAACCAGACATGAGGCTGAATCAAAGTGTGCAGCCTGGCATGTTGTCAGACCAGTCCCAGCAGCGGGAATAAACAGCCCTGAGAGTCAGGTGTAACAAGCAAAAGGAAACCCTGACGCTGCAACTGTGTTGAAACGGCGGAGGTGGATTTAAACAAAGTATTGCCGGCGTGACCTCTGACCCTGCTGGAAATGATGAAAGCCAGAGTTTCAATTAGATAACATAAAAATAGACACACACATTTTTGGGGTTATTAAAGGTAATTGGTCTGAACACTCGTGAGTGAGTTGGCCGTAAATTAACAACAACTACTTATCTCATAAAACCAATTCCGAATGATCAATATGCCAAAGCCCCTGGATTTAATTTACTTACGTCTCTCCTTTGATCCCCAGACAAGTATTATAAACACTGTGTGTGTGCGTGTGAGCGTTCGACAGTCTGCATGTGTGCAGCTCCCTGATGTCTTAATAGCTTAATGTAGTGTGCTGTTCTCGAACTCGGAGCCAAAGCATCGGTGATTTAATTAAGTTCAAGTGTGAGTGGTCTGTAATGCCACTCTTCAAATTCACTTTGCATACATCATGAGCCACAAGTGCACTTAGAGCGAAGCCAAGTCCTCGCAGCCACATCCTCCATAAGCAATTACCGCATGACTAGACTTAAATGGACAAATATGCACAAGACTGAAATGAAATCTATCCTGAGCTGATGAACTATCCCGAGCTGTAATACTGACATAAGATGGCCTGGCGAACATCAGCACTTCAAAGGCATCAAGACCAAGACACACACACACATATACACACACGAGCCTACTGGCTATTATCAAGCCTCCAGACACTGGGCTGTCTCAGCTCAGTGCTGCTGAGCATTTCTTGAGGTTCAGCTCTAGGTTAGTCCTCTGAGATTTGATTACCTTCATCCCCACTGGTTACTGGGCCCAGCTGTGAAGCATATTAATGAGATTTCACCATCATTAGGGGGAGGCTAACTACATTAGCAGGCTGGCTGGTTGGCTGGCTGGACTGTGGCAAAGAGAACGGGAGAAAATGAAGGCAGAAGGGATGGAGAAAGAGAGGCGGGTGTGGGGGGGAGAGAGAGGCCTTTGACAGGATCTTCCACTTTGTTGAATCCTACTCAGTCACGGACCATTGTGTTCCCTGGCTTCCATTAGGTTATCTGAACACACACGCAGATGCACGCACGCACACACACACACATGCCGGCCACGTGTAAGGTACATGGAAGAACATATAGAGTACCATTTGTCTTTCCATACAGTGAGTGTGCAGGAGAAGAGACATCAGACAGACCACCATGCCACAGGCTGCTGCATTAAGGCTCACTTTGAAGTCTGCTTAAAATAATGAAGTGGG